AACAGTCTGTGTAACCAAAGGGAACATATTTCATAGACAATAGTACACACTAATAACATCACTGGTGCCTAACAAGGGCTTCTGGTGTGTGCTGAGAGTGTAGAGTACCAGTACTGATGTGTTACATTCTGGGATGTACCATCATTATTCTTGGAGTTATATTCCTTACTGTCCCATTAGCATCATTGTGAGGCTCCACTGGTTCTTGCTGCTCCGTTTCCAGCATCCTGCACTGTACATTGAAATGCATGGATCGTCAGAAAATGGGAATGACAAGAAAACCTTAACCATTGATTCAAGGTGCACCTTCTACTAAAAATGGAAATCGCCCGGTTTGTGTGAAGGTGGAGTTCCACCACAGATCAACAAAAGGGTACCATCGCCAGAAAGACAGCATTACAGCTGACATGGTCAGTTCAGCAAATACTTATCCTTTTTTTTTATTGGCTCTCACCCCGTGTCATTTAACTTTATGATCAAGACATTTTGGCAAGCACAAAACAGTTTAATCAGAAAGGCCCACGAGCAGGTGGGTATGAATCAGATTAATCCCAATTCTCATCATAGGTTTTTTAATTAGAAACAGGGGGTGTGGAAAGACACAAACATCTTGCTTGGATGTATTCCTGTCCCAGATTGTTTCCCTTAAAAACCAGAGAAAAAGGAAACTGAGAACAGCATATGAAACAAAGCTGCGTTATCCATCCACAGCTGCAAGTCTTCCGCAATAAAGCTAGTATGGAATGCTTAAGGATACTCCTCTGTCACACTGAAAGGAGCTGCATTACCAATGAGATAATACACGTCAGGGAACAAGCAGAGGATAATCTCGTGCTGACTAGAGCAAACACAAATACTGCCACACCTGCTGTAGGCTTGGCGTGAGTCATACAGGGTCTGACATAGATGCTCCTGCAGAAATCTGTTTATATCACAGTTGTGCGAGGTTTGAGGGGGAACAGCAGGCAAGTCCAGCAACCTGAGCGTCCAGGACCAGAGTTTGTTGGACAAACAGTACTATACAGCAGGAGGCTGCAGCCGTGTGGTCAAACTTCAATTTCAAGCTTTGAATACTAAAGTTTTTCTATATAAGCCAGTGACAGGTAACTGTCACTTAATTTCACCACATTTCTCATGGAAAGATCTGTTGAGTGAGTTCGCCCTGGTGCTTCATCAGTGAAACCCCAAACCAGAATCAATAAAACTGCTGCACTGGCAGAGTCTTACTGAAGCTTTTGCTTTCTGCAGGTGACTTGTCCCCTCGAACGAGGCACCCATCTCACAACAGGCTCCCTGTTGCTTTTCACAACGAGTCTATGTGATCGGACAAAAGGTTCGCTGGTCTAAAAAGTGAAAATAATTGCTTTCTAAAGACGATATTTATAAAGCAAGAGAAAAAAAAAAGGCAACCACCCACTGCTGCCACAGAAACATTGTGTGACGAAAGAATTGCTCAGAGTACTTCCTGGGGGACAAAGTTTGCTCCATTTCCCCATGCAAAAATTCCTTCCATAACCCTTTGTAAGCAGCAGACAAAGCTGAAAGAAATAGAAAAAGATGCATGATACCCAAAAATACAGCAGTAGGTTCATCCATTTTACCGGCACAACTTATACAGCATGGTTACAACCTGGGGAATAATGGTACTCCCAGCTAAACCATTAACCTTGCTACAACTAAGGGTAAGGATTGAAAAACAATTACATAACTCTGGCTCTGGCTGTGTCCACCGAGATCGACATGAAAGCGAAATGCCCGAAGTTCAAAGCCCAGTAGGCGCCTCTCATCCCCCACAATGGACGGAACCAGAAGGTCTCCCCACACAATAGACTCCCGTTCGCACGTCAGGGCCGCACAGCAAAGAAAAGCAAACAGGAGTTCAGAAGCTCACCGCACAGCACAACCTGCACCAACAAACAAACCTGTTTCCTGATCCTCCAGTCAAAAAAAAAAAACACTCAGAAGGTCTTCAAAGATAATATCTGTCACTTTGGCGGTGCTATCAGCCTCCGCACGCTGGCTGACAACAAGGAGCCGTCACCCAGAAGGGATACATCGCCCTGGGCGGGGAGCCGGTCTGAGGCCCCCCCATAGGGCTGAACAATGAGCCCAGGCTCCAGCGCCACTGTCCCGGTCTCGACAGGATTCCATCGCTGCGTACGCGGCCACGGTCCACCTGAAGAAGCGAGCTCGGATAAACATCTCTCAAGACTGGACCCCCCACCTTCCTACCCTACACAAAAACCCCAAAACAAAACAAATAAACCCTTTTTGTTTGCAGATCTTTGATGGGAAAAAAAAATCAGGCCGGGCACAAGGGAAATGAAGGGGGCGGACAGAGCCGCAGACTGTACGAACTGCATGGGAAAGGTCTGCAGGGGGCTCGACACACGCACCATGTGCGCAGGCTTATGTAACTGAATGTTCTGTTCACACAAGTAGGTGTGGGATGTGTTACATGCTTCTTCAACAGGTGCGCGTTAGGCTTTTCTGCGATTGCTCAGACGTCCTCCACCTGCCCATCCAGTGCAAAAGCACCCCCACACCTCACTGCGGTAACACTGGCCTATATTTCAATGTTTTTTGTACACAGGAGCACAATGGCTTAATATCACGTATACAACAGAATTTAAACACACTGGGGAAAGAGACAGGAGTGCCACACAGCCAGAAAGGCTGACACCCCTTCCAGGTGATGCCAGCCTTGGAGAAAAGGCAGGGAGAGATCAGAGAGAAAACACAGGAGATGCCAAGATGACGATGGGGGCAGTGGAAGGGGTAGGGAAGAGGAATTAGGATGGTCAGAGACGGCAAGATCAATCACAAGGATCTTCAAGCTCAGCACCCCAAATATAAAAAGTAGTCATAATGGTAGTAATAATACAAATATTGAATAAAAACAAACCACAACAGGACAAGTAAATGATCTACTTGAGATTTATTTCATATTTCTTTAATAAAAAATACAAAACGCTAATAAGAACTAGGGGAACATGCCTGGGTTGTGCATTTTGTTCAGCACTGTAAGTCAGATAAACCTGGAATTGTTAAACCTACAATGCTAAAGAGTGTGCAGAATGTCCTGCATCCAGCTTGTTCCGAATGGCAGCACATCTTGCAAACCGGTCAAGCTGCTCAGGTTCACACAACAGAGCCCCGATCCTCAGCTGAAGGAGAAGATTCAGGGACCCTGAGGAGCAGGAATGTGGAAACCCTTCGATAAGCAGGTCTATTAACAAACACCCACAGAACCCAGGGCCCAGAAAGGTGAAACAGCTTCCCAAAGGAAAACATCTGCATCAGTTATGGTTTCCCATGTGTGGTTTTGAGCCCGGCATTGCCTTTGCACCAGAGGCTGCACACTGTTAAAAATTTAGATATTTACACTGTATAGTGATTCACTCAGATAGGGAGAGAATAACCTCTGGAGTAAAATAAAATAGGAGTGATTCTTACTTCTCCACTGAAAACATAGGGACTTATATTTGAGTATATGCTAAAAACTAAGAACAGCTACAAACAAATATGAATTTTCTTTTTCCAGTGGGGAGCCACTAGACCTTTACATTGAAAATCAGAACCCTCTTTTAAATACTTCCACAAAAACAACATATACTTTAAGTAAATAACAGATTAATGCGTCAAACAACATGGTTTGTTAGAGTTTCTCAAGGTTGTGCGTGACTAAAAGATGTACTTCCCGTTGAGCTATCTAATGAATCTCTTTAATGTAAAAACGGGCAAGAATCCCAAACGGCACAGAGCCTGTCGCTCATGACAGGAGTCACTCCCAGGGAAACCGCTCCAGGGCAGCTCCAAGTCTCCATCAGTCTCCAGGCCTCCCTTAACCCATGCAAACCTTCTGGAAAACTTCCAGGTCGCCCTCCTTTCAGAAACTCTGTGGTAGCGTGACATGCTCTGCTCACAGGCCTCTCAAACCTCTTTTGACATGGCTGGAGGACATGTACTGCACAACCGGGAGCATTACAATCTACATATATTTCCTAAGAGAAAAAAAAACATCGGATTCATTTAGTGAGCAATTCCAACAAAATAAAAAAAATAAAATGAAAGTTGACTGTTGAGAGATTTAGGGCATTAACGAGACATGTTACTGTGGTTTGTCTTCACAGAGAGTTAAGCAGTTTTACTAGTACATCACCTGACTTATCACTTCTAAGGGCTTAATTACCTTGACTAAGGAAACAAAAGTTTTCCTCTGTAAGTCAACACCACACTTCACACACAAAACCTGCACTCAGCAAAGCCCCCAGCAATTAAATAAGCCTATAATTTCACAGCTGCCTGTAAAGTAAAGCTTCAATGCTGCCTCCCTGAAATCTGCCTCACAGGACTTTTGGTCTGAAAGGGCTTGTTCTTTTCTGCAGTTGTGCCAACCTAGCGAGTTGAGTATATTTACAGACATCGCAACACCTTATGAATAAAGTTCTTGCTCCTGTGTCATATTATACATTCAAAATCTGGACCGTGAGAGCATGTGTGCACCTAATTTCAAAAGCTTTCCCTTCCTTTCTCTTGTTAATTGCAGTGCTCCATTAGTTTCCAAGCCTCTTAAGACTGAACCTGCCAACCCTTCTTAAAGACAGGGTGGAGCCACCAGCTCTTCCATGGTAATGCCCAGGGCACCTCTGATCCGGCCTGAACCTACATGTCCGGATAGGGTCACGCCCCTGTAGCGTGACAGCCCTGCCCTGTCAGAACACAGCCCACACATCCCATCCAAAGAGGGAGACGCCATTTGACCTATTCGACAGTCTTCTGGAGGGCTTCAAAGAGGTGTTCCTGCCAAGCAGGAGAGCAGCAGATTCCTGGCTTTCCACCCAGGTTAGTGGGAGGCCCTCCTGCACGTGACCCTGTTCATCCCTGGCAGCTTTTCAGGGGCAAGTCGGCGCTGGTGCCAGTTTGTCTGAGGGTATTGTGCACCGAGCTCCCAATGGCTCTCGTCTCCGAGGCGCTGAAAGCTTCTATTCATTTCATGACACCTCTGAAAAAATGCCCGCATGTGACAGAGGCACAGAGGTAGTGCACCCTCCCGTACACATGGGCTGAGACAGTGGAGAAGTCAGTCCGTGTAGAAACTGCTGGCTGAGGATATAAAACGGAAACTCTTTTTAAAACAACCACAGTATCCTAGCATGGCTTACCAGAAGCATGCGGTTTTGCTGTATCACCTCCATCGTTATTCTAACAGAGGCCTATGCGGCTGGTATTGAAAGCTGAAAGGCCTTGACCGTGTGATCTGATGCAGGGCACAAAGGAAAGAAAACACCTTGAGCCCATATGCCACACAGAGGGCCCGTCTCACAGACCAGTGATGAGCTGGCTGCCTCACATCACATGCAAAGCAGTGTTTCGGTAGCTAAGTTACTAACGAACATTAAAGCTTTTAAGACAAGTATTATAATTTTGTGCCCAGGTTGTTGATTCTGCGATGGGTAATTTCCATACAGTCTGCTCAACGTGGAGACTGAGGAAAAACGGAAGCGCTGGTAACACCTCGGACACGCCTCATTAGAGCCAAGAACAAAGCACGCTCAGCTGCAGGCATTGTGGCAGTTGAGGCCCGTTCAACGGGTTACAATGAGGGTGCAGAGACCCAGCAGAGAGCAGGGATATGCCCACAGTACCCATTCTTGCCCCATCCAAAAAAATAATCTCACCACTCCAAATGTTCCTGAAGAATTCAGAACAACAGATTTCCCGCTTAAATGGACAATTTAAGTTACACTAAAACATACAGCACAACCCTCTAATTATGGCTATTTCTACAGACAAGTGAGGCAAAGATCTCTATTCCACCGATGACGTTAATCAGGTATTAAAGGACAGCTATGCTTAGAATTGCAGTGACAGTGTTTGCTGTTCCCGCATCTAGGCATTACTGCAGCAGCCTTGAATGAATTGGTTTTTTACTAAAGCAATATTGCGAGACCTTTAAAAAGGAGCGATGGATTGTAAGGCTGGAAGGAATGCAAACTGTTTTTACATCAAAGTACAGTACTTTCTGTTAGCAGTGCAGTGCACTGGGAAATAACCAACATTAATTAAGAAACACAACACAATTGGAAAAACAACACAGTTACTCTGAAATGACACCGCAGCAGCGTTTTTCTTAAACAGTCTAGATTACATATGCCTTTTAAATGACTCCTTAGAAATGATAATACATTTAATAATAACCATGATATTTAGGGAGAGGGACAGATTTCTGACAGTCAGAAGTTATGGAGGATGGTGTACATGATACAAGCGTAATGTGAATACTGCTAAACTCTTGTGTGACAATCATCTCAGCACTGTTCACTTGCACTTTCCTCTGCAGAAAAGGCACTTCTCTTTTACAGACGTTACAAGGAGAATTAGAAGCCACAGGACTGGAAGCCTGACTGCAATATTGCACAGACACCAGTGGCAGAGTGAAAAAGAAGTCCAAGCCCACTCCTTCTGGGTGTGGACTACTTAAGACACACGTTACTGTAAACTGTAACTTTGGAATGCGAGGACTGAAGTACTGACCAGCTGCACATGTAACTGCCTCCGGTCCTATAGTGTAAACGTGAATACAATGGATATTAATGCCAATATCAGGGGGCGTCACTGTGGCTTTTATAGTTTTACTGTATATTATAGAAACCCCCTGTGATTTTTAAAATTTTGACTTGACATATCAAACTGTTGCCCCCCTCTAGTGTGAAATAACCCCTCTCTACCATCCATGCAATTCCACAGAAGGGTTCCAGTCCCAGAACGGCACAGCTCACCACAAGATCTCACAGCACGTTTAATATTCGTAAGGCAGTCGAGTCCCCATCCCCTTAAACACGGTCCCGTCTGTGTGTAACTGCACCCCAAACAACCCCCCCCTTCCAGCAAACGGCAGTACAGCTCTTCCACAGCCTCCCCCAGCTGTGCCCAAACATCTGGAACCGTCCTCGCAGGCAGCCTCGCCAGAGCCCTGCGACGGCCTCTCAGCAGATGACCCACTTAAAAATGACAGCCGGGTCATCCGACGGCTTCCACTCATCCGTCTCGTTAAAAAAAAAAAAAAATACAGGAATTTAAAGTCACGTAGAAAATAAAGGTAACGCAATATATGCCATTGCTGAAATAATTGCTACATCTCTCAGCCAAATGAGCTGTGGGTGCACATACTGCACAGTAAGCAGCCAAGAGGAAACATGATTAGCACTTGCTGGGGCTGAAATGAAGCTACTTCGGAAAGGCAGCGGCGGCTGCAGAGATGAAAAGGGGCGCCAGCGGCCACGCCCGGCCGCCATCTTGTTTGGAGGCAGGTGCCGCGCCACCCCCGGCGTTCCGGAGAGGCTGCCCTGCGGGAGCCGGGGAGGAGGCGAAGGGACGACCGCGCGGCCGGTGGGGGTCAGTGCTGGGCCGCGCCGGGCGGGGCGTCCGGCAGGAAGGGCGTGAAGGAGGAGCGCACGGTGCGCTGCTTGAGGGGCTGCTGCGTGCGGAAGTTGTTCACCATGCTCTTCTGCACCTCCTCCTCCGCCGCCGTGAACAGCAGGCTCCGGAACACCGCCAGCTGCCGGGAAGAGAGGGGGGGGCTCGTTACTCGCCTGCCCTGCGCCGGCACCGGCTCCGCTTGCACCCTGCCAGCAGCCTCCTGGGAAAGAGAAGGCTGCTGCCGGAGGAGGTGTTAGTGGGACCAGCAGGGGGCGCTCACCCTGCCAAATGTGTGGGTCCTAATGGCCCAGCATAGCGACAGGGACATTATACTGTGAAAAGGCACTGTCCTTCGAAAGGGAGGTAAAATCAAGGCCCTGCGTCTCTGTGGTCATTAAAAACCCCAGGGTGTGTCTCGAAAAGATAAGGGAGTGAAACTCCGTGTCCTGGCCAAATTTCCCCCTGGCCCTTACCAATCATGGCCTCCTAATAATCCCCATCTCTGAACTGGCCTCATCACTCTGCTCTCTCCCCACTGAGAGCTGGTGTGTGGTGAGAGTACTGGCGCACTCTCGATCCAGGTGGGGCCGCACACTGGTGGTGGAGGGGAACCCCATTTCCTGTAAAGCGCTTTGAGTGGAGTGTCCAGAAAACCACTTTATAAGTGTAAGGATTATCATCACATCTGCTTCAATTTCAACTGCCCTATGGGAGCAACTACTCCAACAACCCTGGCTTAGAAAAGGATTCCTCAAAAATAACGAGAAAATAATGTAAACAAATAAACCAGTTCAGCTGGAATGTAACGTTAGAAGTTAAAAGAATATCCAAACTATCAGCAATCTATCACAACAGATAAAACAACTAAGGCAGAAAGCTCAAATAATCCATGCAGTATAATTGGGCTGTAATGGCCTGTTAATGTCTACAGCCTTTTGCAAAATCTCTGTTGTGATTTCCAAGGGTTTGGAATTCCATCCGTCTCCAGCTCTGCTCCCGTGTGAGCTCCAGCAGCGTGATTAGAACTGCTGTAGCGCTCTTCTCGGTCGTTCTGCGCGGGGAAGTCGGATAGCGAGAGAGGGCAGGCCAGGGCAGGAGCGGATTAATTTTTAAACCCTTTTTTCTGCAGTGTAGTTTTCGGTTGTCCTTCTTCCACGAAGAATTTTCTTTTTCAGCTTTTTGGTCAGCGTGTGACTGCTGAACAGGTTTCCACATGTGACTCTGCACTAACAGCACTGCTCTTGCTGACAAAAGAGCTCTTCAGCTCCGATTATGCTGTCACCTGAGACCATTCCCCATTGTTCCCACCCGTCGCCATGGCCACTGAACTACAGTGTGACACTCAGCCAGTCAGCTGGAGGCTGACGGAGCTGGGCAGGGAGAACTGCCTTCAGACACGGCTTACATCATTCCTGAGGCGCAAACTCGGGAAACCTTTGTCTCTTTACGGCGCCGATATAAAAGCTAGATGTTTCATTTCAAAGCTTAATTTCACTTCATTAACAGATTATTGCGAATGCGAACAAGTGAGAACAAAGCATGCACTGTCGTTTTGCTAGAAACTAAAGGCGGCTGCAGAAATGAGTCAATTAAGAACACAGAACAACAGTGATGGCAGACAGCCTCACAAATATTAAGCTGAACTTCTCCATTCAGGAGAGGAACTAATTTTAAAAAAAATTAACATGTATTTATGGTGACATCAGGAACTTTAAGCTGCAAACCAGATCCGAAAATACGTGCATGATAACGTTGTGAAAAGGAGGACTCTTTTGTAAAAATATGGATACAGTCACAAATAGCCAAAATATTAGGAGCCCCCAGGCCAATGAATAGATCTCTTCGGCTGCAAGAGGGGCGCGGCTGAAGGGAGCAGGATGAAATAGTCCTCCACCGCCTTCCCTGGCCAGAACAGTCCCAGATCTCAGTCCTGCCGAGCACGTGTGGGACGTCCCGTCCAGTTCTACACAACACTGCACTGCACTCATCAGCACCTCAGCTGGAACAGCAGGACGGGGTTGAACTGCAAATACAGTTCAGAGCCCTGTGAGAGGCATGGCAGGTGGTGTCCAGTCTGTCTATACTGCTGCCAGGGGCCCAGCAGGTTAATCAGTGGGGGTTCCTAATATTTTGACCAGTGATCCTTTTGTCACAATGTAATAATGGCCATATAGTGAGTGTATACAGTTGTCCAAGTAGGCATAAAGAATTCCAGTTTGCAGTGTGCTCTATCAAACACAAGAGGGCACAACTGAGCCACACAACCACTACAGAGGAACAGCACAGTCTACAGCTCTGATTTACAGACTTTTCTAGCCAAGTTAACTCTGTGTGACAGTACTGACATTACAAGACCTTACTTTTCATTTCACAGCGAGCACTGGATGCTCTGCTCACGGACTAACGGACAACCAAAATAAAGGACATGAAAATGTACTAAATGGAAATTGCCAAATTTGAAAATTGGCAGCAGCAGCCCATCAGCTCAGCTTTCCCCTATAACCCATGTACTGAACAGGGAGAGCAAGGAACACAACAGCAGTAGGCTGTGCACATGGGAGGGGTGGCACTGCTGTCAAAACACTAGATCTCACGTCACTCCAGGGGAACTCGGAGGAATGGAGGAGGTAGCAGCCGTGTCCTGGGTCAACGCCACTTTTGGGTTTGTAGATTCCTGCCTCCCTAATGTTGCCCTTAACTCAACTTGTGAGGCATCTTGTCACGTGTGGGCCTGACCCGCTGCGCAGTGGGGCTGCTGAGCGCCACCCAGGTGGGGTTCTGCTTCAGTGGGTCGCTCCTAGGCTTTGGAACGTCTCTGGGAGGAAAGCTCTATATAAATGCAGCACAATCCATTCAGATCCCCCATCACAGCACCAGTAAAAAGAGAAGTTTTAGAATTACTTGGTGAACGTTCAGAAAGAACCCATTCACCCCACCCTGTCGGTCGGCAGAAGAAGCAGAGTGCTCACCTGGTCATGGCTGACTTCGATGGGCTGCTTCATGACGATCCAGGCCACAGATTCGGTGAGGGGGGGTGTGGTCAGAGACCCAGGGTACGTCCAGTAGTCCTGACAGGTGGGCAGCAGGCAGGCGGCGTCAAACCGAGTGAACTCTACCACACTATCCTGGAAAGGGGGAGATACAGAGGTTGGTTCACAAAGAGCTCTGGTCCATTCACACCTGGTTATATAGACCAAAAAACATGCCCTGTTATTTAAAGTTCCAGAATTGCTTGTCTTCCATGTATATCACTGGGAATAAAACTAAAATACAGCACTTACTCAAGCCAGTTTCTGGAGGAGTGCTCAAAACCAGTTTAGATCAAATGAAAGATCAGATCTGAGTTCCAGACCCAGTTTCAGTTTTATTTACACTTGGAATAAATTGCTGTTGGAATAAAATGCTGTTGGAACAGCAAGCAAACTAAAGTAAATCTGACAAAACACGACAATGTGGACGAGAATGACTATCTCCATTTATGCAGAATTTTAATTGGCACAGCAGAAAAATAAATTCCATAGAACGCAAATAATTACAAAGAGAAGTCCTATCAGATTGCCACAGTTATTTGTTAAATAACTTTGAAGATTGTATGTTAAAACACCGAAAAATGTCTGAAATTCAAATTATCCTTGCATTGGAATGAAAAGTTACATATAAATGTAAGGAATAATTCTTATTAATAAAATGCAAGCCGTGTCTATTTCCCCTTCTGCGGTTAGAACTGATTAACTGTAGAGTTGACTGGTCCCTCCCCCTCCCACTGCACTGAGCCGATTGAATGACAGCACGGGAACAAACCTAGGTGTACGCTGGGCCAGCTGAAATCAAGTATCAAAAGCATGAAGCAAGAAAAAGGTTCTGCTTAGTTTGTGGAGAAATAAACAGCGCATCATGAATGATTTCAGCACGAAGTGAGACTAGTTGCACAATCTCTACTCACCACTGAGAAATCAGATGCTTAGTCTCCAGACATTTCGTACACCCTGATAGTGGTACTGAATAACCCAACCTCTGCTTAATATCAGTATTAAGACAAATTATAAGCCCCACCCCACCAACACCACACTAAAGGATTTTAAATAAACTCAGAACAGACATTTTGAAAGGACTTAAGAGACTTAAGTGCAAAAGGAAACCAAATTATTTCATCAGTTAGCCGAGTGGGAATCTTCAGCTCTGCTGGAGGGGGAGAAATACGAAGGACATAACATTTTCAATTTATACAATTTCAATGCACGTTGCAGCAATGGCTTAAGAAAGCGTGGGTATGGGAATGTAATCATCTCATATTAAAACTTTTTAAAATAGATTCACTGAGGAAATGGCGTCTCTGCACTCCAGACAAAAGTAATTAAAGGAGTTATTGTGAAGGATTTCAAATACCC